AGTTATACGATCGTTATAGCTTTTTCCCAAACTATTTGAGATTGACTACACGAATCGTTGTCCACCATTCTGCTCTATCAAGGGCCATACCCTCAGTGAGGCCATAAGTCCCCATATTTCTTCTCATTACTTCCAACCATGTCCTTTTGGGTGTACCCCTTGCCTTTTTTAGCCTTCCACTAAAAGTAACTTGCACCTCCTAGTAGGTGCTATACTGATGGAATACCAAGCCAAGTTCAAGTGACATGTCTTAAAAAAATTTGTCATCGTAAAACAACAAAGCTCCAAGAAACATAAATTTTTCATATAAATTGACGAGTACTTAAGTTCTAGCCACCAAACCTGGCTTTATACTCATTTGAAAACAAAAATACAACTCTAATTGGTCCCTTGATAAACTCCAAACGTAAAATACAACAAGAAGATTAAATACAAGACAATACTTGAGTACTCAAGTACTCATGTTTACAACATTATACAAGTTACATTCCCAAATTACTCTTCACTTTGAAATTACATCAAATACTTCTAGACCGATCTCCTTCTCCATCAAAACACAAACTTACATATGCCTAATTGACATGATCATGGAAAGCCAAAATTCGAGTTCAATTTGCATGGTCTATGGATTTATCATGGTATTAAGCCATAGGCTAAAATTGACATAAACACAAACATACTACAAATATGATATGCTCAATTTCTCATGGTACAAATTATTAAGGAAGTTTAAATTGCAGCAAATAAAATTATAAGCAACCAATGGGAAGCCCATGATTGAGCCCTTTGTGTCTGGGTCACATAGGCGGACTTTTTAGAGACTTAGTTTTGTCCTATATATTATAGCACGGATGGCTCTAATCACAAGGGCTTTCTCACTCATACAAATGAGAAGCTAATAGTCGCTGATCTGCTACTTAATTATGATTGGAATGAGAGAGAAATGAACTTTTAATTCATAAAACTATTTGGCGAAGCTAAATGGAGACAGCTCATATTGATCATAGGATTATGACCTAATAACGATGTATAGTGTGGCAATCTATCAAACCCTTTTGTCCAAGTCCATGCTCCAATAAATGAGTCTCAAAAGGACACTAAATGGTCAATGATTTTCATGAAAAATATGCTCAAAATCCCAAAGAAAATCAGGTGCTCAAAACTTGAAGAAAATGCTGTCTAGTATAGAAATTCAAAGACTACGCAATGCATGCTATGGAGTATACATGTATAGTTCTAGAGAGTAGTAAAAGGTCAATGAAACTCAAGGTAATGAAGTACAGATGTTGTTGTAATTGAAGAATTAAAACACATAAACAATAATGGAATGGCTAAGAAATAGGAAGAAGATGGTAGAGATATTACCTTAGAAGCTATAGACTAGACACATTGAGATTTTGTATACACCATCACCATGATTAAGGAGCTTCACCAAAGGAGAAGGGAAGAGGCTCAAGGGAGGAAGTGAATGCTAGAAAATGAGGGGCATGGAAATAACGACTCACAAGTGTGTAAAGAATGGGGGTGAGCAAGGGTTTATATAGATTTGTAGTTGATGCTATTAATCGATGGTATGTGGGAGGGCTATGATTCTAACCACACATCCATGTTTAGCCATCAAGATCAATGGATGTAATTTGCATATCATTATCACTCTATAAAACCCTAGATTAGCCATTTTATCGAAATGTCCTTGTCCCATAGAAAGTTTTCTCATAACTCTTTAATCATACCTACGTTGTTCATAAAACTTTATGAAAATAATAAAACAACATAAGGATAGGGGCATGCCCTTATGACAATTTGGAAAAGCAATTCCAATTCGAATGATATCTTATGGATGAGCCAATCAAAATGTGCGATTCCATAAACTTCACATGGGCTTAGCCAATAGAATCAATCTACATCAAAAGGTGGATCAAGGGACAAATTCCATTTAACCCTTAGGGTTTAGATCATAATTTCATGGTTAGCTTTAACCTTAGGCGCATGCCAATCATATACTTTCAAAAAATAGGACTCCCACTAGTGATGACATCATGATGACACCATCAGCAGGGGGATAAGCCACGTGGCCACCCTATGGCCACATGGGTGGCATGTGGGACTGCCCCACAATCTATCCTTCCTTGGAATTAACTCCAAATAATTTTAAAAAGCACATTTTTCTCCGAATAGATTCTAAAAAATTCTTCGAATAATGCTCCACTATAAATACTCATTTTCTCATCATAATAAAATTAGACAATTGGTAAATACGATCTTTAGGCCTAGCTCTAGGTATTGGAGTACTCCACTAGGCTAATCTGGAATAGTGATCCGCTTATCTTAGAATGACCCAACAAGCCTATGCTTCACAATCTATGGTAGGGACACATAATCCGGCTTCACCAAAGTCACCCCAATCAGGTTTCCCATCACCCCGGTTCACAGTGGATTACAAGTACACCTCTGGGAACATAAAAATACTGACATATAGGGGTTCTCTCAAGGCACATGGCACTAGCTCTTCTTAGTAGGATTATATATCAGAAAGTAGCTTCCCGTGCGACTGTGAGTGCACATGCTATAGGATAGTCTCGTGTCAGGGTACGAACTCATGTCTTGTGAGTCATGACCCTCCTATATAGGGCGGTTACTCTGAAGATACTTCGGTTTCATATTCTCTTTTTGATTCACACTAACCATGAGGCACACTTATAGATATAATCCTGAACCAGAGGTGACCCTCACACCTTTGCAAGTAATCTCTCTCTCCCATCGAAGTCACTTATTGCCTCATATACTTGGAGTATATGATTATGGGCCCTAGTGCGCCAAGCATCCGGAATCTTCTCTCACTCACTCCTACTTAGCGAGAGAATCTTGGCTCTAAGGCCATAAATCCGACATGTACTGGGTTTGCATTACACATGGCTAGCTCACCTAAGTCTACTCTCTCTCATTTTATCGCCTATTGGTGCCATGCCTAAGTTCTTCCATATGTATTCATTTCGAATTATATCCCTTTTTGTCTTGCCACCCATCCATCTCAACAT